ATATATACTTAATTGGTCACCCTTACTAATTGAATCAACCAAACACACACATACATCAATATTGCAACACATGTTTCCCTCATTAGTCACTTGTTAAGGGTGTAGAAAAGTATTGTTTGGTGGCGACCTCTAAACCCCAAGATCTCTCTCTTACTTACTCTTATTGCATTTAATTATTTTGTTTAATTTGCTCTCTAGTTTAATCAACCAACCAACCATTTATTTGATCACTCGACCTACTAACCATAATAGTGATTCCACAACCAAATTCGACTCCAATCCCTTGGGACGATCCCTACTCACCCTAACTATATTTTTAGTGAAGGTAGTAGTAGTTTCTATAAATGTAAAACTTAGCCCTGGCCTTAATGCACACTCTCTAAGCTTGTGGTGAACGGCACACCATGCAACAATCAGAAGAAGGTGTCCATGAATTCAGCATTCTAAAAGAGTCGTCGGTGATTTAGTGTTTGAATTAGAGTAATGCTTCTTGGTCTACTGTATGGCATGCTTAAGATGGAAATGGTGGAAGGAAAGATGAAAAGAAGATGATGAGGAATATGAGTGAGAAAACACGTTTGTGATTGAAAACCTCCATTGAAGCTTAGAGTTTGGACGTGAGAGTTAGAACAGAGGTCTTGACTATTTAAAGGTATAAATCAACCAGAGATTTATCAATTATTATTCTTAATTTCCTAATGTGTTGTTGATGGTGAGTGGAGAGAGAGAGAAGGTGAGGTGGATGGAGAGAGGATAAGATGCATTTGGGTTCTCTTTCTACAAGCATTGTAGATAGGCATGAGATGCAGGGTCTCTAATGGTGGGTAGTGGGTGGCAGTGATGGTGGTGGGTGGTTGGAGTGGCAGAGTTGTAAAGGAGAGGTGGTGGTGATATAAAAAGAGAAAGTGAATAAAGAGAAAAAGTGGGAATGGATATAAGAGTGATATAAAGAGGGCATGATGATGGTGATGGTGATGATGGTGATGGTGATGATGATGTGTATATATACATGTGGTGGCCGGAGAAGATGAGTTGCAGGTAGAGGTCAACGGCGGCAGTTACAAATTGGCATTTTAGAGAGAAAAAATGAGTTGCTGATGGTGGTGGTGGCAGTCGTGTACGTATATAGAGAGAGAAAATGAGTGCAGAGAAAGAGGGGGTGAGGTGGATGGAGAGAGAGGATGAGATGCATTTGGGTAAAATAGTAAAAATTTGTTGAGGGGCATTAAAGGTATTTTACGCTGATTATTTATTTTGGTATTTTTTTTTCTTAATTACAATGAGTAGTTTTGTAAATCTACAATGAAGTCGTACGGAAAGTTGCCGGAATTGACTTTTAGGGGTTAATTTGCACGATTTGGATAGTTCTTGTACTGACTTGTTCACTTTTGTAGTTTAAGGGGGTAAAATGCCAATTCCTGATAGTTCAGGGGAGTTTTTTGCACTTTTGCCTTATATTAATTCAAAAGAAAAAAATATACTAATGACCTAAGTCACATAAAGTGGGAACGGAAGTGAGAGTAAATTCGAAAGTGGGACTGTGAGAGTGAGAGTGATAAAATAAAACCATAAGTAGTGAGAATTTGAGCCAAAATGCACTCGGAGCGTGAAAACAATCCCGTTGAGAAAGATTATGTAACTTAACTAATCACCTATCATATTTAATAAAAATGCATTAATTTTTTTGTAATGCATTTTAGTCTTACTGTGTGCAGTTACACTAAAATATCTAAAGTAACATACCAATCTCCCTTGGCAAGTCATGGAAGCATTGGGAAAGACAAAAAAAAAAAAAAAAAAAAAAAACTAAAGGTGTTGTAAGACCAAATTAGCAAGAATACTTTTAATGATATCATATGTGATAATACTTTTAATTGTGATTTCTAAATAATAAATTGTACAATTACTTTTCCTTAAGTTATTAAAGTAATAAACTTGTTTTGTTAAAAATTTATAATTTTTTGTTCAATTAAAATTATTATTTTTTAATCATTCATCAAGATAATAATGATATCTATTTTCCAATCTGGAATTTAAGTACTCAATCTAAAAGTTAGATTTTTGAAAAGTTGAAAAAATTGTATAAGAAAAATTAATTTTCTAACCATGCTTTTTGTTTACTTCTTTTCTTTTTACTTACAATTTAGTGTTTCCTCTTCTATATATGCATATATATATATATATATTAGACTTGAACCCTAAACCTCCATCTGAGAAGTAAGGGTCTGATATAGTTAGGTCACTGGCTATTAGTTCCTCTTCTCTATATTTTTCTTCCTCATATCAGTTTTTTTTTTTTCTTTTTTTTTTTTTTCTATTTATTTAGGTTAGTTTTTTATTTGTGTATATTCTAAAAGTATATATTATTACTATATATTATAAACAAAATTATATTACAATTGCTTTTTTTAAAAAAAATTAAATTTTAATTACATAGTACAAGTTCGGTTACTTCCAAATTCAAACTTCCAGCTCCGTCCTGCTATTTATACCGTCATTAGTAAAATATAGAGAAAAAAAATACATTATATACATGCATGTATAGTACGATATTTTGGTTCAAAAATATGATTAAAAATATAGCATCCATACATACATGTATGATATAATACGAAGTAATATAAAAATCATGATAAAAAAAACACAGTAATATTTATATATTACAATTATTATTATTTTAATCATATCCCATTCTTATATCAAATTGAAAGAGTGATGAAATGAATTTCAAATATATTGAAGTCCATATTCATTTGTTTAGATGTTTAAATTTTTTACAAACAAAAATGGATTTTCCCTTTTTTATCTTTGTCATTATCATATAATTTTAACAAAGTACGTATAATTACATAGTTAAATTAATTCATAAGAAAATAGCAAAATACCTAATAATATAGTACTATATGATAATAGTTATTACTTGCGGGATGCGAAACAACTAGCTTTCTTATTGAACAAAAAAAAATTAAACGGTAGGTTAATTACTGGTTATGTTACTATAATTGCACATTATTTTAAAAAGTAATTTTCTTTTTCAATATAATTTTAAAAAAAAACTATATATGAGTGAAGTATATTTTATAATCGAAAACAATTTTCAAAGAGTTATATAAAGTTTTTTTAAAATAAGTCTACTTATACTATATTTGCAAGTTGAAAGGAAGGATTGTGGAGGGAGGGATGAATGAAACTTTTTTTATTTGATTGAAAGGACAGGACGAGTAGGATGAATCATCGTGTATGTTTTTGAAAAGTTTTTATCCATCCAAAATTAAGCCGGAAAAGATGAGGGAGAGAATGAATTAAAATAACTACTATAAATATGTTATTCTCAATTTTAACCTTTTCAAAAATTTGAAATGGATAACAATTTTTTTTATAATTTTATATAATGAAGGTATATTAGTAAAATGAATATACAATCTCTTATTCACTTCTTTTCGATGAAACAAAAATAAGATATCACTCCATTCATCCTTTCTATTATTTATTCCATGGAAGCAAACAGAATGTGAAGGAAACATCTTTCATTCTTTTGGATGCTTCATCCATTCCTCTCCCTTCAGGCCGGCCCTTGGGTGACGTCAAACCCTCAATATATATTCCATAATATATAGTATATATATAGTGAGGTATATTTTATTTTTAAAATGAATTGCAGCTCACTTGGTGAAGGACCCATGTAAATACAGCTTCTTTTTAATGCAGCCCATTTATAACTTATTATTATTTTTTATTTATAAACTTAGGATCAATCTTAGTGGAGGAGAATACAGTCTAAGAGCATCTCCAGTAGTCTGTTAAAAAACTCTTTTGTGTAAAATATACACGGTCACGTATAATGTTTAAATTTTTTTTTTTTTTTTTTTTTTATCTCAATCAGTCTATTAAGATACACTGCCACATCACCAATATATAAAATTATTGTGTATTTTACACAACTTTTTACACAACCACATAAGCATATTTCCTTTCTCCTTCTTTTTTTTCATTTCATTAACAAATCAATCTTATATTAAATAAATTTGTACAAATTATGGGGGTTTAGGCATTACACTGGTTGATTGTTCCCATTCTACTTCCTTTGGTTTCTATTTTGTTTCTATTTTCTATTTGATGTATACCAACTTTACCATTATATTCTAATATTTAAAGTAACCTTTAATTTGGAATGATTTGAAAGGATGCATTTGAATTTCTATCCTGTCAATTTCTTTTATATTATAAGTACAACTACGACCAAATATTTTATATTAATTTTTTCATTAAACTCTAATCGTGATCTCATCGTAATTTAGTATTACTTTCTCTACATTTCAAGGTGTGAAGATAAAGATAAATGTGTGTATGAATTGCAAAGGGAAATTAAATATATATATATATATATATATATATATATATATATATATATGCGCTCATATTAGTTCAGATGTACGAGTACAACCGTAAATGATGAATCTAAATAAAATATAGAAGCAGCAAAGCAAATTAGAATGGGAAAATACTACTAACGTGAAACAAGTTTAGAGATATTCCTATGTCTCATATTAAATGTTTCTTTTGGATAGTAGAAATTTTAGAGGACATGTAATTATTACATTTTCGTATTTGAAATTACTAAATTACTTTTTCAAATTTAATACATATTTATAATCAAGTTTATTTTTTCTTATTTATTTATTTATTTATTTATTATTATTATTATTATTATTATTATTATATATTTTTTTTTGCATCAAGTTTCACACACATTACTTACACCAGGCTCTTTGAAAGTATGGAAGTTATACACCTTTGAGCTAATGGCCCATATGGTGAAAAACTGACTATAAGTATTTAAATTAGGCTCTTTAACATTACATTAGCCAATTAAGTCCATTCCATAAGTTTTCAATGGCCATAGGTATAGTTTCTCACATTTACCCACTCTCAAGTTGAAGGATTTCCCGACACTGCCTTACTAAAACAGCTATAACTCTCAATGTAATTGGAATCTAAGAATGGGGTTGGTACCATTGGAAAGGTAACGAAAACTGCTTCAATTTGGGCTCAAGAATGATCCCATTTGGATTTAAAATGTAGGAGTTAGTCATTTAAAGTTTGGATTAACAACTAGCGAACATGTAAGAGTGCTCAATCGATCAAGTCTAACTTGACCAATCGAGTCCTAACTTAATCGATCAAGTCCAAGCTCAAACGGTGGGGCCGAGAGCATGAAATTTAAGGTTTTCTTAATTTTTCTAAGTATGGGAGGCTCGATCGATCGAGTGTGGGCTCGATTGATCAAGTTGAACCCTGAAAATGGTCATTAACCTCCAAAGAAGCCTTCGTTGGTTCCTACATTGAAATTAAGACAATTAACACTTCCATACACTTTTGCCACCCACCACCACCTCCACCGTCTTCCACCATCACCAGCTCCACCGCCTTCTGCCACCCTTATTGCCACCTACCACTGCCATTACCTTTCATCACCACCACCACCTCCACCGCCTTCTACCACCGTCATATCCACCCACCACCGCCACCGTCTTCCACCTCTATCGCCTTCTACCACCATCATTGCCACCCACCACCGTCATCGCCTTCTACCATTACCACCCGCACCGCGTTTTACCACCGTCATTGCCACCCGTCACTGCCATCTCCTTCCACCACCACCACTTCTATCGACTCCTACCACCATAATTGCCACCACCGCTTCCGCCACCTTCCACCACCACCAACCTCTACCACCGTCATTGCCACCACCGTTGATATTGCCTTCCACCACCAACGCCTTCTACCACTATTGATGAGCACTGAAAAGTGCATATTTAAACTCCTTAAGCTTAGGCATTTTAGTACCTTTATCTATCTTACTTTACCGTTTTAGATTGATTTCGTATTATTTCCCTTTTCAGGCACTTATCCCGAAAATAAGATAACTCAGCCAAATAAGAGCTTAATTGAAGCAATTCTGGGATTAATCAAATAAATGAGCAAAGTGGAGAAAGAAGGAAGCAAATGAAGCCAAAGGTGGCAAGCAGTAAAGTTCAATCGATCCAAATTTAAGGCTCGATCGATCGAACAATGATCGATCTCAGCACTTCAAGATAAATCCAAGCCTTGACCCAAAAGCATAAAGTTTCAAAAGTTCGATTGATCCAACACCATCCTTCGATCAATCGAACACTTTTGTCCTTATTCAAATGATTGATCCTATCCATAGTTGTACCACCCACTAACCACTTTTGTCATTTTCCCATAAATATCTCGGATTTGTCATTTTGCAAAAAGATCAGCCAGTTGGATCGATCCAGCCTAAGTTCGATCGATCTCACTTACTTTCGATTGATCCAAGTTCAAGGTTCGATCGATCGAACTTCCTCCAGTGCAAAAAAGTTAAAATTCCATCTCATTAAAAGTTGTCCTTTATCCAATCATTAGGGAATATTATGTGCACGACCCTAGCTCATTTTGGGTGTCATTTTGACCTACCTATATAAGGATAAGGATTGTTTTTACAAAAGGAGCCAATTTAATTTTGCATATCATCTTTTGGAGAGGAAGCTTAGAGGAGGAGGAGGCTAAAAACACCATTGGAGACTCTTCATCGACAAGAAGCAGATTTCAACCATAGAATTAGCCCTTGAGGGTTGGAGCATCATCACCATGAGTGGTTAGACATCCTTTTGGGATTAGAGTTAGTCTCAAGCATGCTTTCTATATCTTAATCTTGTGTATTATTGAGGGATTAGTGTTGTAATTGATGTTTTGACACTTTGATATATATAGATCTTGTTTATTCAATAATTTATGTGGTTTAATACTTCCAATTAGTCATTTCATTCTATCCATATGTCTATGTATGCTAGAATAGATGTTCATGTACTTATCTCTAGATTTTGTGTTATTGATGCATGTCTATGTGTATTGATGCTATAAATTTGGAGGTTATCAAAACATTGTGCTTAAAAGAATGCTTTTGTGATTCTCTTGATGGTTCATGCTTATCTCTTGATGGATTGTGCCTCTTCCCTAGTTTATTTTCATGCTAGTAGTGTAGATGTAGTGTAGCGTTAAATGGGAGGACAATCTATACTTGTTGTTTGATGATCCAAGCTTTTGAATGTAATTAGCATATATCTCTATCCTTGTGTTGTATTTGGATTGTGAGCTTAATGAAAAGATTAATGACTTGTTTTGATTTATTGTGCATTTCACATGTTGTTTAGACAATATATGCTTCATAACTTAGATATATTGTGCCTTTCACATGATGTTTAGACAATACATGCTTAACTAATCATCCTTACTTGTTGAATCAACCAAATACACACACACACACACACCAATATTGCAACCCACTATTTGCCCTCATTAATCACTTGTCAATGATATAGAAATACATTACTTGGTGGTGATCTCTAAACCCCAAGATCTCTCTTTCTCTCTCTTACTTACTCTTAATTGCACTCTTTTGCTATTACTTAGTTTAATTTAGTAGCTTTTTAATCAACCAACCAACCAATTGTTTGATCACTCGACCTACTAGCCCTAATTGTGATTCCACGACATTATTTAATCCCCATAATCCCATGGGACGATCCCTACTCACTCTTGCTACTTTAGTAGTAGTGCTGGTAGTGGTTTTTATAAATTTAAATTTGACCCAAAAGGCTTTTCTTGAACCGCACATTCACTATACATCAAATTTGGTGTATAAGGAACGGCCGTCGTCCAACTATCATTGCCACTGTCATCGCCGTCGCTGTCGCTTTCCATCACCACCACCTCCACCGCCTTCTACCACCGGCATCACTATCACCGTCGTTGTCGTCTTCCACCACCGCAGGGCCGGCCCTTGCCCAAGGCGACCAAAGCGGTCGCCTAGGGCCTCAGATTTTAAAAGGCCTCAAAATTTTGAGGCCCATGCATGATGGGTCAAAAAAAAAAAATTGTAACCAGATGTAGTAAATCTTTTTAAGGCCACAAAATTTATAGGCCCATGATGGGCCCCAAAAAAAAAAAAAAAATTGTAACCCAACAAATCATTTAAGGGGCCACAAAAAAAAATAATAATAATAAAATAAAATAACTTGAACCGCTAATCTTCATTATCGTAACTCTCGTTCTCAAGAATCTCAACAGACTCTCAACTCTCAAGCATACCCTGTTACTCCCCTCATCTCTCTCTGCTCTGCAAGACTACAACTGCAACAATCAAAAAAAAAATTTCCTGACAAATCGAAAGTTCAAAACCCAGAAAATTGAAAACATCACATCATCATCGTTTTCACTCTTCTGTTCCTCCCTCTCTATTTCAGAATCCAGACTTCTAGTTCGCAAATCGCAGTTCGAGTTTGTAACTCGCATCGCATGATTCGCATCTGCATCAATCCATAATCATCGCCATGATCGCCTAAGCACACTCTTCAAAGCCGTCACTTCCACAGGCCTCAGCTACAAAGTCTTCATCCCTTCTCTTGCCTGGCCCTTCTTTTTCCACAGGTCTCTATCTCTCTCACCCATCCCATTACTTTTTCTAACACATACACATATATATACACACACTGACACACACTAAGTATGTATTATTAATTATTTGAATCTTTAATTGAAGGAAAACTTCGCTTCCTCCATTCAATTTCTCTCTCCTTTGGAGGATCTGCCTCCTTGCCATTCTTGGGTACTGATTTTTTAACCATTTTATATAGTCATTTTGCTTCATTTTGATAAAAAAAAAAAACTTACAATTATTTAGATCCAATTTATATATATATACAGGGTGGCTCAATACAATATTTATTTTTAATATGTATATGTTGATGTAATGAGGATGAGAGAGAGAAAAAAAAAAAAAATTTAATACTAGGATAGAAATATTTTGCGCACACTATTAAATTTTGTATTTGTTGAGGTTTAATGATATAAAAAAATAAAATATTTAGGTAAGATATAATGTATAAAGAAAAAAAAAATTTGGGGGCCCTCAAAAAAAAAAAAGAATAAAATTTTTTTAGGTTAACGGTCAAATTTCTCTATAGTTAAAGTTTAATAATTAAACAAAATACTATAATTATTTTAGGAAAGTTATAATATATAGAGAAATAAAAAATTATGGGACCTTCTTATGTATAGAGGGCTTCACATTTAAAGTTCGCCTAGGGCCTCTCAACTGTCATTGCCATCACCGATGCCGCCACCTTCCACTACCACCACCTCTACCGTCTTCTACCACCGTTATTGCCACCACTACCACTACCACCTCCTCTGCCTTCCACCACCACTACCTCTCGTTATTGCCACCACTACTGCCGCTTTCCACCTACAACGCTGCCTTCCACCACCAACTTCCTTCACCATTATCACCACCGCCTTCTATTTCCACACCATCTTCCTCGCCATCCACCACTGCCGTCAATTTTTTGAAAATAAAAAATTAAAAAATAATGTTATTTTGTTGATTTAATTTATTTTTCACTAAAAGGGGTATTTTAGAGAACTCAACTTAAATTTTATTCCATTCTAAGTTTTAAATTGATCCAATCAAACATTAGAATGATTATTATCCTTCTATTCGTACATCATTTCATATTTGCAACCAAATAATAGAATAAGAACGATCATTCCATTCGATTCACATTCTCATTTCATTCCCACCTGCAATCTATTTACATTCCTGTATACCAAATGCAACATTATATATTGACTCCAAAATTGAGAGTTTAAAAATAAATTTAAATTGTGATATTTGAAATTTAAAAGAAAATTTTTACTTGGACCATTCAACCATACTCAAATATTGTGATATATGAACTTAAGCTCATTATTATTATTATTGTAGTCCTCGCCGCAACTCATCATTACTTCATTTATATATATACACATGTATAATACTTCATCTGTCCCAAAAAAAAATATCATGCTTTCTTTTTTGGTCTATCCCAAAATTATTGTCACTTTTCTTTTTCAAACAATATATTTTACATCTTTCCATAGTCATTGAAGTTTAAAATTTTAAACTTAAATATTCAAAACTTAAAAGGACAAATTAGTAACTTTTTATGGAGATAAGGCATGTCCCTTAAAAATTCCTACTCCCCAAAAGCAACATTTAAATTGAGACAGATAAATTATTTATTATATTAATTCAAGTGAGAAAAATATACTAATGAACCCTCATGTTTAATAAAAATGCATTAATTTTTTTTGGTAGTGCATTTTAGTACGACTAATATATGTAAAATAACATACCGGAGCATTCGGAAGGACAATAAACTTAAATGTTGTAAGACAAAAAATGGATAGAATGTCAATAATGACAATGATATGTGCTAATACTTTTAACTGTTATTTTTAAATAACAAATTGTACGACTACTTCTTATTTAAGTTACTAAAGTAATAGTTTTATTTTGTTAAAACTTGTGATTTCTTGTTTAGTTAAAATAATTTTTCTTAATCTTTCATTAAGATAATAATGATAAGTATGTTTCAAACTAGAATTAAAGTATTCAAAACATTTTTTTTCCTAAAAATTAGAGTTTTGAAAATTTCAAACAATTGCAGGAGGAAAATAGATTTTCTGACAATGTTTTTTCTTTACTTCTTCTCATTCTATAGTATTATCAGTAGAATAAAATTCAAAATTAGAGGGTCAATTTGTCGGTTTGTTAAGATAGGATTAGTTGATAAGAGTTTTTATCTTATTGGAGTCATGTTTAGTTTTTGGGATTTATCCTTTTGGGTTATTATGGGTCTTCCTATTAATTTGGGATTTCAGTTGTGTAAGTCACTTATTTAAGTACATG